ATAATTCCCTTAAACAAACTACATGTTATCTGTACACATACTTACATCTCTCTGTAATTACGCCTAATAGCATCTTAAGTTATTTTTGTTAATCACCATTATTAGCAAAGTAACACCTTTTGTTTTCTCTAGACTCCAGAAAACTAGAAGACAGGAAAACAAGAACTATCTAGCTATTTTTCACCATTAGTTTACATTTAATATTATCTTTTTATATTTAAATACATCACCCATCTGGTTAATTTATAGCTATTTTAAATGAATAAGGACTAAATTACAAGTAGGCTTAGTGACCAAAGTTTAAAACTTTTTAAACTTAGAAAAGTGTCCAGTACCCAGAAATATTTATCCACGAACTCAAATTAACATTTGAGGCTTTACAAAAGTTAAGGATCTAAAAATTACAATTTTAGCTAAAACATGGTCTTTATGATTGCTACTGCTATAAAGATTATAAGATCGAAACCCCTACAGGGTCTCAGCTTGAGCTGTGGCATGAAAGCATCCCCCACCTGATTGGAAAGTCTGTTCCCCATTATCCTTTAAGGCTGATAATATTGTCACTCCCTTTAATTACTCTGAGTCACACACCCAGTGAGAAGCGGGAGCTAGGCAGACAGAGATGAAAATGTCAGCATTATTGTTCATAAGAGCTAGATGAGGGAGGCAGCTCTGCACCCACCATTGGGAGGCCTCCCTAATACTAACACCCCCTGAATACAGGCTGTGCCCACCACTGCCAGGGGCAGAGCTTTCATGAGACCTGACAGGGTTCTTTAGGAAGAAATGCCAGGGGCGCCTGGGTGGCTGTTGTTAAGCGTCTGCCTTCGGCTCAGGTCATGATCCCAGGGTCCTGGGGTCGAACCCCACATCAAGCCCCTTCCTGCTTGGCGGGAAGCCTGCTTCCCTCTCCCACCCCCCCTGCTTGTGTTCCCTCTCTCGCTGTCTCTCTCTCTCTGTCAAATAAATAAATAAAATGTTAAAAAAAAAAAAAGGAAGAAATGCCAGCAAACCGAGGCATCCAGTCATCAGGGTGACATACTGAGCTCTTAAAATACAAATGAATGTCTATTTTTGGTCACAGATTTCAGCTGAAAACTACCCAAGCATTCCGATGGCCAGGTAGGGAAAACCTGAACAGGCTTTCCCGGACTAATCAGACAAGGGAGTCCCAGAGATGGGCCAAGCTGCTCTTCCAGCTTCAGAAATGTCCCACAGGAATGAAGGTGGAGAAAGAAGATGGGTGACCTACAGGCATCCAGGAGGACTCTAGCCGAATTGTCCCAGAAGGATTGGGGTTGAAAGTCAGAGTCAAGGGAGTCAGATCGGAAAAGTCATCCATCATCTTGGAAGGGGGTGGGATGTGTTGCAGCTTTTTTTTTTTAATTTTTTTACTGTTATGTTGATCACCATACATTACATCATTAGTTTTTGATGTAGTGTTCCATGATTCATTGTTTGTGCATAACACCCAGTGCTCCATGCAGAACGTGCCCTCTTTAATACCCATCACCAGGCTAACCCATCCCCCCACCCCCCTCCCCTCTAGAACCCTCAGTTTGTTTTTCAGAGTCCATTGTCTCTCATGGTTCTTCTCCCCCTCCGACTTACTCCCCTTCATTCTTCCCCTCCTGCTATCTTCTTCTTTTTCTTTTTTCTTAACATATGTTGCATTATTTGTTTCAGAGGTACAGATCTGTGATTCAACAGTCTTGCACAATTCACAGTGCTCATCATAGCACATACCCTCCCCAATGTCTATCACCCTGCCACCCCCTCCCTCCCACCCCCCACCACTCCAGCATCCCTCAGTTTGTTTCCTAAGATTAAGAATTCCTCATATCAGTGAGGTCATATGATACATGTCTTTCTCTGATTGACTTATTTCACTCAGCATAACACCCTCCAGTTCCATCCACGTCGTTGCAAATGGCAAGATCTCATTCCTTTTGATGGCTGCATAATATTCCATTGTGTATATATACCACTTCTTTATCCATTCATCTGTCGATGGACATCTTCACTCTTTCCACAGTTTGGCTACTGTGGACATCGCTGCTATAAACATTGGGGTGCACGTACCCCTTCGGATCCCTACATTTGTCTCTTTGGGGTAAATACCCAGTAGTGCAATTGCTGGATCGTAGGGTAGCTCTATTTTCAACTTTCTGAGGAACCCCCATACTGTTTTCCAGAGTGGCTGCACCAGCTTGCATTCCCACCAACAGTGTAGGAGGGTTCCCCTTTCTCCGCATCCCCGCCAACATCGTGTTGCAGCTTCTTCACAAGGCAATGACCAGACCCCTCACAAAGCTGCCTTCTCTGTGAGAGAGGAAAATGGTGACAGACTTCTGATGGAGGAGCCAGAGAAAAGGATCTTGGGCGCAAAACTTAATGCCCAAGCCTGGCTTAGAAAGACAGGACTTCCTGTCTTCAGCAGAAAGTGCAGGCTCACTGGACAGGGAATTTATCAGCACAGAAGACTAGGCTGGACACCAGTGGGGCTCCCCAATGTTTGGGACTAGGGAATACCCTAGGACTTTTACTTGTCTCTGAGGGAATAAGGACATCCAGCAACAATGGGGGAAGAATTTCCTAATAGTTCAATAAATGAGGGCACAGAGGAGATTATACTTAATTTAGCCAACATAAAGAAATGAGATCTTTTCCCACCCTAGTTTTGTGGCATAAGATGCATATCTGATATTCGTAGGGGGTATTGAAGGAACCAGGCTTTACATTTAGATGCTGTCTTTGGCCAATATCCCAACAACTGTTGGGGCATCTCTGTAACCAAAAGCGTTCTCCCCAGTCAAGGCAGACAGCTTTTTTTTTTTTTAAATGAAAAAAGTCAGGTTTATGAATAAAGCTTTGACAATTAGAAAATCTCCAGGTGTCTTTGGAGCTTTCATGCTTCAGGGGCACAAACATTGTGGTCCAGGGCCATGCTTCCTGGAGAGCCCCCACACTTCTTGTAAAACCTAGATTTCTGTTTAGCCTTGCACACGTTTGGCTCTCAGCAAGTTTAGCTATTTTCTACTTAGAGTACATCTTGGGGCTAGAAAAAATCCACAAGGGCTTTGCCCTTAAGATACTCTCCGGTGGCTTTATTAGTGAGACCAGCCACTTTGGGGCAAGGCTGGAACTTTCTGTCTTCCCCTAGGATGGGCTAACATAGGGCTCTCACCAGAGTAGGATATGCTGGGAGAACATCTTTCCTTTGTCAGCGGTCCTTAACATGGCGCTATTTTACCCACCGCAGGGGGCTCTTGGCAATGTCTGGACACGTTTTTGGTGGGCACCATTGTGTGTGTGGGGTGGTGTGCCCCTATCTAGTGGGTAGAGGCCTGGAAGCTGCTAAACATCCAACAATGTAAAAGGACGGTCCCGCACAACAAAGAATTATCTGGCCTAAAATGTCCATCATGCTGAGGTTGAGGAACCTTGGCTTAAACCAAGCCTTTTCTATGGCATGTCTCACCATCTCTGCATCTCGGCTACAGACCACGATGTGAATGGTGCTCTCAAGAGCTGTGCAGTGCATGGCCTGCATGACCATATGTGGCAACCCTGCACACCCACAGGGGAAGATGGGAGCAGGCATGGCTCGGGGGTAGGTCTGGAACTGTGCTCCCCCAGCGGAAGGAGAGTGGGTGTGAGGTTGCAGAAACAGAGAAGGAAGGGGCAGAGGAGGAGGCTGGACAGTTGCTAGTTGCTCTCCAACAGCCGATGATTAGGGCAACAGAGGAGATAGAATAATCTACAGGGAAAATCGTAACTCTGATAATTAACTGAGCATTCCAGGATAATGTTTCACTTCGGTTCATTCTCTTTCACCATCCCGGCTGACCATCTCGCGTCTTCACTTTTAGACACCTTGGGTTTTCCTGGTCAAGGTCATCAGACATTCCTGGCTCATTTCCTGGGCCTTCCAAGATAAAAAACGCAACACCTCTGTGATCTCACCATAGGTATGATTTTGGTTGACGGTGCAAGACAGATTTTTTTAAATTTGAAAATCTGTCATCCTACTCTCCTAGTATATGAAGTGGTCTTTAATAATGAGGAGTGGATGATGATGACAGCGCTAGTTTATTGATCTGGCGCAGCACGGGCCAAGAATTGCCCTGAGCACTTTCCAAATAATTTATTTCAACCTCCCGCCTTCCCCATGTCATGACGTCAAATGACAAGTACAACTAAGTCATTCGACACGTTTAAGGTTGAGCAGAAGGCTTCGGGTGGCCTGGTCCTTGGCCACTGCTCGTGCTATATTGAAACTGAAGATTCCGGGGGTTCGGAGAGATTTCGTGAATCATGGAGAGCCAAGGAGAGGGAGCCATGATTTGAAAGCAGGCCAGACTTGCCTCCAGCTTGTGCTCTTTATTACTCTTGTGACCCAGGTAGGATATGTTAGCACATCTCCTAATTGAAAACCAGGCTTGTATTCACGGCATAAATCCTATGTGTTCTTCTAGACCACCGGTGGGCACACCGTGGTCCGCGGCTTGGATCTGGCCTGCTGCCTGTTTTTGCAAACAAAGTTTTATTGGGACACAGCCACGCCCACTTGCTCGCTGTCTGGCTGTTCTCTGCTACAGTGGCCGTGAGGAGTATTCCCGGCGGAGACTAGATGTGTGGTAAAAACCTAAAAGATCTGCCCTTTATAGAAAAAGTCTTCTGGCCCCTGTTTTTGGCCGTAAGCTTGGTGAAGACAGAGACCATGTGGTGGTGGTGAAGACAGAGACCATGTGTTTTCTTCTCTTTGACACCCTCCTCCCGCAGCACCAAGCCCAGAGACAGAAGCCAGTGCCGGACGATCATTAGCAAATTGAGATCAAGGTTTGTTGAATAAATGTGGAACTCATATAGCGGCTGGGTGGTCTCTGCTCCCATCTCGATAAATATTACGCACCAAGGAAGCAGCAACACAAGGCTCTAAGCGCACGTTGTCTCACTTCTGCTCCTGTAACCACAACAAAGGACACGTACGACTAAGCTCATGTTGAATGCTGAGCAGGGTGCTTTGAGCTCTGTGGTGACTGGACACGGCTCACTGAAGTTTATTCTAGAGGCTGCCCAGAGTAAGGCTAAGGACAGCTGCGAAGGGGACAGGAAAGAGGAAGAGAAAGGCGGGGAAGGCATGCCACGGTCAGGTGTGTGTTCGGGTGTCCCAGGCTCCCCGGTGACGAGCGTCCATGTGGAGGAGGTCCTCATGGGGGTGGAGGCAGAGTGACCACAACCTTCGGACCCCTACAGGGGCAGGGGCAGGGGCAGGCCCAGCTGTGATGTCGTCCCCTCCTCCAGCCACGTTGCTCCTTCCTCAGTGTTCAGCCTAATCAAGGTTGGCCCCCAAGAGCAAGAAGTTCTGGAGAGGAGGCAAAAAGGACCCACCAGAAAGATCATTTTCTGAGCCGCGGAGCATGGGGCTCCCTGAAAGAGAAAGCTTCAGTGGGAGAGGCAAGTTCTCACTTGACCCGAAAACCAGGTCAGGGCAAAAACCCAGCCTTCAGGCCTGGGAGGGCTTTAGAAAACACTGTCCCTCTTAGCTGCCTGACCCCAGGAATTTATTTGCATTTCCCAATAGTCTGATTTCTGGAAGACACGCATGAATGTCACTGTCCCCCTCCAAAAGTTGTTTCTCCCAGGAGAACAATGCACGTCTGGGTGCTGCCAGAATTTACCCCCTCACATAATTAGTTTATGAGGATGTAGTCCAGGATTACCTTAGAATATACTATGGGCAGTGAAGACGTTGGTACCTCTGGAGTTATAGAGTGAACTGTCATTGTCCCTGTCCCTGCTCCTGAGGTGTTGCTTGCCCTAAAAGGCCTGGTCAGTTTTGCTCCAGGACCAGGCCTTGCTGCTGTAGGTGGTAAGGCTGGCTGGTGTCCCCGGGGACACTCTCACACCACCCAGGAGCTTCTGGCTCATTGACCCAGAAGTGGTGCATCTAATCTGACCCCTTCCTGCCATACGTGGCTAATGGGCCCTGCACACTGTTGATATTCAGTTGATGTGATTGAACTGAATTACTGGAAACTGAGCTTATGTGGAAGTCAAGATTCCACACAATCAACACTTGCCATCTGTGCTCCAAAATTTAAAATATTTTTTCCGATGAGCATTAGGTCCAGGATGTGAGTAGGAGTCAGGGGCTCCCCCTAATGCTACCAGCCCCGAAGCAGCCCTCCCAGGAGGTCTTAGAGCTTCCCACCCAGACCCCACGTCTCATTGACCTCATGGACTTGGAGCTCCAAACTGTTGAGGTGGGTGTCCCTTGGCAGAGGGAGAGGGAAGCCCTCCTCAAGCTTTGCTGGAAGATAAAGAGCAGAGAGACACGGGTTGGACAGGGAAGGTTGGGGACACACGCTTATGGCCAGTGAGAGGGCGGGCTACTTCGAAATGTGGTCGGCTATTGGATTCAGGGCTGGTTTTCTGTTGGAGGAATGCCTGGTAAACGCAGCTTCTTCAGGAGGGGACAGATGTGGACAGCCAGCCTCCACCAGCCAAAGGGGCCTGGGATGGGGCATGCAGTGCTTCTGACCAGACACTCACCCGAGGACCACCATCTCCTCCCCTTTGTCTTTTCCAGGACAACTGCCCTGCTCTTATCTCATGTGGTAAAAGGCAGATGGTGAGGCCGGGCGGAGAAGGCCCTGGCATGGGAGGAGGCCGGCCAGGTTCTCAGGCAGCCACCATGCCAAGCACTATTTCCATCAAGGTCACCTGGCAAGTCAGTGACCTAACCTGGACCAGAACCCAGGGGTACTAACTCCAGGTGTTCTCCAGGTGCAGCTTGGAATGCCCCTTCTCCCTTGGCCTAACTCCCTGTGCTTTGGGACTCAACTTGACCCTCACCTCCTGGAGTCATGTTCAGTGCCCCCTCCTAGCTCCTGCAGCCCCCTGTGCTTCCTGTCACAGCATTTGTCACTGCCTGTTAACATGTCTCCCTTCCCAACAGAGCGTAAGCTCTATGAGGGCGGGCTCACGGATTGCCAGGACCCTAGCCAGGGCAGAAGAGGGGCTCAGCTTGTTGACTGGCCGACTGATCCATGAATCCTACAGAAAGAGTAGAATTGAACATTTGCACTGGTCAGTAGTAGCTATTCTTTTTTCTTTTCTTTTTTTTTAGGATTTCATTTTATTTATTTTAGAGAGAGAGCGCACGCGCGAGCAGGGGGAGGGGCAGAGGGAGAGGGAGAGAGAGAGAATCCCAAGCAGACTCTGCGCTAAGCGCGGAGCCGGACGCGGGGCTCGATCCCAGGACCCCGAGACCATGACCTGAGCCAAAACAGAGAGTAGGACACTGAACCGACGGAGCCACCCAGGTGCCCCAGTAGTAGCTATTCTTACCGTTGAGAGAGGTGTATAATGTGTGGAGCGCATAGTAATTGAAGATGGCTTCCATCAGCTCCACCTGGAGTGGGGGGCAGGCAGAGTAAAGGGAACAAACGAGACATGCATGAAAACAGGAGTCTGAGGGAACAACGTCTCGCTGGCCCCCTGCCTCCAGAAACACCTACATGCCAACCCACTTACAAAACGGGTTGACTGTGACTGTCACCAGCAAAGGTAGACAGCTCCTTATCCACAATCTCCTCAACTCCAATCTCTGGACTTCATTCTCCATCAGTACGTACAAGCTCATTTTATGGAAAAATATGACCTGAATCGCCATGGGGATATTTAGTATTTCTTTATTCCACTTTGTGTGGATATTTTTAAATTCTGTTGCAGAAGTATTAATGTGTCTGATTATAGAGTGCTGCCCCAGATCCTGCTGGAAGAGTTATATCACATATGATGCATGCATGCTCCAAATTACCTCTCATAAATTCTTAATTCTGAAGCCCATCAGCCCTGAGGGCTTTGGGTAGGGCATTGTGCACCCGGGCCACTATTATTACAATAGTAAGCATAAACTTAGAGCTTACTACGTGTGAAGAATTTTGTCAAAGTGTCTTCCTAAATCCACTGCCCCGTTTCATGTTACAGTTCCCATTGGAAGTGGTTGAAGTAGAAATCGTGTATTCCCATTTTACAGTCAAGGAAACTGAGGCTCAGAAAAGTTAAGCTATTTCCCCAAGGTCACACAGTAACAAGTGGCATGGCTGGTGTCAGATCCCAGATCTATCTTCCTTCAAAGCTTGTGCTCTTAATGTCCCTGTCCTGTCTCCCCGTTAGCCCTCAGACAGTGCCCTTCTCAGATGATTAACTTTCAGACATGGCATCCGCTTCTGCAAGACTGCAGCACAGTCTTCTCAGAGAGCCTTGGAGCTTCTCCTGGAGCCCCCTGAAGCCCTCTTTGGAGAAGATACCCAAGAGGTGCTGGGAGAAAAGCACTCACGTTGATGAAATGGATGTTGGGGGGTTTCAGTTCCAATTTCAGCTTACTGCGTGGAGAAAGAGAAGCATGGGTCAGTCACCCCAAGCCTGCTACTTCCTCGCAGTTACCCCAGTGGGGAGTACAGCGTTTACGGGCAAGGCCATTTCTGGGGGCTGGGCGCCCAAGGGTTCCTCTGCAATGGGGTGCTTGTGCATCTAACGCTTTCAGCATGCACAGTGATTTAAGAAGAAGTGACATTGCTGCAACTTATGGTTGCTGAGCATCTTCAATAACTGAAATACATTAGGATGGTGTAAATATTAACTGGAAAAAGTGGGATGCAAAAAGTCGTGCTCTGTATGTCCAATGATGTAAAAGTGTATAAAAAAAAAAGGCTGGAAGGAAACATGAAACTACTAGTGGTGATAGTCTCTACGTGGCAAGGTTATGAGGGATTTTTTTTAATACTTTTGCAATTTCCATGCCATGAGCACGCATTATTTGCATAATGTGGGAATAGACAATAACAAAAGGAGGGAGAGCCCCTGCGTGATGCTGGCAAACAGCTGGTACCCGCTGGAGGGAAGGAAGGTGGAGGACAACACCAGGGGACCTCTGGTGTTGTCACTATAGAAGCCAAACCTGAATTGCCCCCACTGATCCTCTTGGCTGCTGGCCTGGCTCCCTTGTTCAGGGATTATAACTGCCCTGGACCGATCTTTTGCTCTCTGCTCATGGGGCAGAGTAGTTTTGCTAATTCCTTGATAAAACCACCTTGTGAGGTCCTCCTCTGTCCGCCTCATTTTGCTGTCTCTCCATAGTCCAAGCTCTCTGCTGTCCTCTCAGATACTGCATACCCCCCAAGCCAGGCTGAGGCATAAACTCAAATTCTGGGACCTCCAGAAAATGCCCACAAGCTCAACATTAGCTTCTCTTTTTAAAGATCTCTCAAGGAGATGATCATTTTAATGGAGTCAGTGCACTCTCTCAGCCAACAGGTATCTAAACCTGAGGCCAGGAATTAGTTCCTCTGACTAATTCCTCTGCGCCCACTGCACCTGTTCCTCAGCCAGGGGCAGCACCCAGAGTGGGTGAGACACGGGGCACAGGTTAGGGCCCCAGAGAAGGGGTATAGTCCCTATACCCCCTGGCGGTATAGTCCCTCCCGCCCACTGGCTCCCTGGTTGAGTATGTGCCTGCTGACTGGGTGTCCGGGCAGCAAGGGGTGGCTCGGGGGGCACCTTTAATCCTCCATCTAAAATCTCCTCCCTTTCTGATATGCAGTACTGACAGGTTTTTCTCAATCTTATATATAAAGTCCTCGCAAAGCCCCATGTCTTCCAACCAAATTATGGCTCCTCAGTAATACCTTTGCAGAAGTTCAGCTGAGGCATTGTCAATATGCCTTTCCAAAGGGGCACACAGATTAGAGGATAAGCCAGCCCCAGTGGAGATCTCTGTCCCCAAGGGTCAATGCCAACCTTATCAGAGAACAGACTAGATGCTCTGGTCCCTGCTGGGTTATCCCCAACCTACCCCATTTCCTCCCCTTGCCCATGGCCTCTAACCTTCCTGTGGTCACTGAACCAACAATCTTATCGGAGTTCACACTGATGGTGGCAGAGATGTTCGTTGTCTAGAAAAGAAAAAGGGATAACCCAGACTCTCAGGGGACGTAGAAATCTTGTTGGCTCCCAGTCCAGGAGACAGATCTTCAGAAATAGAAACCACAGCCAGATGTGGGACATGTGGGTGAAAAGCAGCTACCCAAGGATTATGGGCTGAGGATGTAGCATGTTGGTGGCCCCACAGCTAACTTTAGGAAAGGTGAGCTAAGGTTTTAGAGATTATAATGGAAGCATCAAGAGGGGTAAATAAGCTCAAGCTAAAGACACAGAACATTCTAATAGGGAGGCCGTCCACCAGTAAGCATGACTGAACTTTGAAGCATGCTACTAAGAGAAGTAGAGAGTCCCTGAGCCTTAGGGAACTTTAAAGACACCACCAATTGACAGCTGGGTGTGAGGATGAAGCCTGGCCTGTCGAGGGGTGGGGTTGAACCAGATGATGGACATTATTTCTTTGAGTACTTTTTCCAGCCACTCCCAATTTCTCCCCTCCTAGACTCTGAGGACAGGAAGATGAGATCTTTTGCTGTAGTTCCACGGGTCCCTGAGGCTCTGTTCATTTTTTCAGGCTATTCATTCAGATTGGGTAATTTCTTTTGTTCTACATCTTAATTAATTTGTTCTTTTCTCTGTTCCACTGACACCCCCAGCCGGGATGTCGGGGCATATTGTTACAGCTTCATGCCAGTGTAAGTCTCAGATCCCCAGTCAGGCTTTACTGGCCTGGGTGGGGTTAGGGCCATAGCTTTTTCTCTGGTGTTTGTCTTTAGTAGCACAGTTATTGATTGTCTACAAGTTTTCTATCTTACTAGGTTGCCCCTTTTTTGGTCCTTTGGCTAGAGAGAGGAGGATGTTATTGGGGCTGTTTTTTGTTCGTGCCTGTTGGTGTTTCTGGGTTGCCCCAAATTGGAATATGCAGGGCAAAAAGAAACCCCAGGGAGCTCATCATCATGTTATTCCTTAGATCCGGAGGCCCCTGGCTGATCTACCTTTTTCTCTCTGCCTTTCAGGATTTTCTTGCCTGCCCTTGGGAAGCCTGGTTGTTCTGGCCAGGAATGCAAGTTTCCCTCACTCTGCGGGCAGGCAGAAGTCAGTCTCCCAGTCCTTCAGTGGAGAGAGGGGCTTACCCAATGGCAGATGTAACCCAGAGATGAGACTTACCACCCTGAGCTGGAAGAGTGGCTTGCGGTCAGAGGAGGTGGGCAGGAGAGCAAAGGCCTGGATGTCTATCACCGGCAGGAGGGTCACACTCCCACAGGTGAACATCAGGAATGGAGCTGATTCAGGTGATGTCTCAAGCTCTAGCTCCATATTGGGGTACAACCTAGCCAGCTGGAGAAAGAGGGCAGAGGCTCAGGGGGAGGGCAGGAGAAAAGTCTCTGCACAGCTCACTGATGTGCAACTACAATCTCCACATTTGGTCTAGGTCAAATTCTCTGTGATGAGTGTTCAGAGGTCTTACCTGAGGAATAATGGCCCGGAATGAGCTGGTGTGCAGGTGGATTGGAGAGTCCAGGGGGAATCTGCAGTAGAAGCAAGAGGCTACTTGAGATGCAGCACATGGTAGCTAGAGATGTGGACTTTGAGGTTAGACAGCTTGGGTTCAAATACTACTCCCGCCATTTTTTTAGCTGACTGCTTGTTGGCAAGCTTTGTTAGGTTCTGCATCTGTAAAATGGGGATGATAATCATAGCACTCACCATGCAGCATGGGCAAGGATTGAATGAGACAGTGCATGGGTAAAGCGCTAAGCGCAGTGCCTGGAATCTCAGTAAATACTTAGTTACTGTCTGCTTTTGTTATTTATTATTTCTTAGGATGCTCCCCTCAAGAGCCAGTGAGAGCTCATAACCACCACAACCTGGATTGAATCTACTTCCAGATATGGCTGCCCCCCAAACTTCTCTCCTGGTGTCTGCCCCCCCAAAAACCCTCTCTCCTGGTGCTGTTCTCAACCCGCCCCTCTGACTTGTTGATCTCCCAGCTTGGCAAGCCCTGCCTGTACCTGCACAGAGCCCACCTTCCTTGATCTCTCCTCCCTCAAGATCCCCTCTTTACCCGGGCTGCTCCTATAGTGCTTGGCTGTGGGGGTGCATGGCTCAGACCTCCCTTCGGGGGGGGGTCCCCTGCGAGAAGGGCAGTTGGCTGACAGCCATTCATGCTGGGGCCTCGCTCTTCCAGACAGCCTCCAGCCCCTGACTGAGCACAGCCGGGGTGTAGCGCTGGAGAATTTTGTCAGATCACGGGCAGGATCAAGACTATGAGCCAAACTGAAAGTCACAAGCCCTCATCCACTTACCACGATAGTGTAAGCAAGAGGCTAAACAGGAAAGGGTACCGGCCCCCACTACTCCATTTCCCCTGTGGCCTGGCATCCGTGAGGTCAGATGCATCAGCAGAGGGGAGGAGGGGGGTCACCATATTGCCAGAGGAGCCCCAAAGAAAAGGCTCCTGCTGTTTTATGGACCCAGGGCGAGGAGGGCTAGTAGAATAGGACTGAGTACCGAGTCAGACTGGAGAAAGCTGTCCTCCAGGCCCCAGCCAGGGGATCTCAGCAGAGGCACCAGAGCAGTCTCATCTGGGGAGCCCCCACTAGCCCCATCCCTAAGGAGGCCTCTGAACGAGGTGTCTAGGGTTGGCATGCAGATAAGCCTAAGAGCACCGCCAGCCCCAGTCTGAGGAGGGGATGGGGCAGAGGCTTGAGTCCTTGACCACAGCTCCCTCCAGACACTGATGAGCACTGGCCCGGCAGCAAATCTAGTCCGGGAGGACCCGCCAGGTCAAGATTTTGCAATTGCCTGTGGTCAGGCTGGAAAGATCATGCACGGGATTTTAGCCTGGAGCCAGGCTCGTCCAATTTCTGCCTGCTCCGGAGCTCCTCTGAGCAGCAGGCTCTGCTCTGTGCCCTCCCTCAGCTGAGCAGAGCCTTCTCAGACCTGCGGGGCGGCCCTTCTGCCCAGTGTGCTTGCCTCCCTCTCCTCCACGGTTTCAGGACTCCCCTCCCACTCCTCCTTTCTCTCCCCTTTATCCTTCGCGGGGGCTCCCCTACTCCATCTCTTCCAAGTCTAGTGCCGCCTTGGCATCTGCTGCTTGGAGGACCTGATAAGATACCGCAGAGCCTGTTGTAGTTTTTTAAAGTATTGCCGATAATAGCTAATATGTATCGTGCATCAGACACCAAGCTCTCATCAGACAATCTCTCACACGATCCCTGGGGACTAGGCACTGTTGGGATCCACATGCACAGCCTGGATTTGAACCCATATTTGTCAGGCTTCAGATTATACATTCTTTCCCTGGCTCCTGAAAACCCCCAAGCTTGGTCTATGGTCCAGCCTGATGCTCTCTCATGGGATTCCACCAACCCCCCCACCTCCAGCCTTCTCCCTCCCCTACTCACGTGGTGGTTTTGGATGGTGAAGTTCATGAGCCCAGCCTGGTGGTAAACCTGGCTGGCTGTGTTGAAGACATATTCAGAGACAGCAAAGTAGACCATGTGGTCATGTTTCTCGGGCAGCCTGATGGGCGGAGCATCGAAGAGGGCTGGGGAGTGCCAGTTTTGGCCAAAGAATTCACCCTGGAGACAGAAGGACACATCGCCCTCCCAAGGTTCCTACCAGAGAGGGTGCCAAGAAGAGGCATCTAGGGCAAGCCTGGGGAAGCCTCCTGTGCCCTGCACGGTGGTCCAGGTGGTGGCTCCTCTCTAGAATGTGGACCTGGGGCCCACTTCCGGTCCCACAACATTTAGACCCTGACACCTGCCTGAAACCCCCATTACAGTGTCGGCTGGGGAGGTACGTGTTGTGCTCTCCAGGGCTCAGGATGTGGCCTGGTGGTGGAAAGCATGGACTCTAGAGATTAACTGTCACTTCCTAGTGCTGGGACTTTGAGCAGGTCCCTAGCTTCCTCGTGCCTCAACTTCTTCATCTGCAGAATGAGGATGAGGCTAATGGCTTCTATTTCATAGAGGTGGCATAAAATTTATATAAGTGAACGTTTGTACAAATACTCAGCATCTGGCACATAGTAAGAAGCATATTAAGTGTTTGCTAAGTAAACAAAATTGGAGGAAGATGGTATTCCCGGACCTGCTCAGCCACCAGGGAACTGTGGAAGAGACTGAAATAAAGAGGGGGCATATTAGTTTCCCATTGCTGGTGTAGGCACTGGCCAGGTATGGGAACTTTAGGGGCAGATGGATTAGGGAAGGAGGGTAGGAGCCAACTCTGGGAGGTAGGACTGATTTTCTGCCAGTCTTTAGCTCTAAGATCCTTTCTCCACAGCAGCTTACCTTGAAGGGTGTGTCTAGGACTTGAGAAGTCACTTTGGGAGCACCTACTAAACTGTAGTCAATGCCAGCAACCTGATCAATCCTTGAGCTAACTGTGGAACAGGAAAGAGAAGTGTTCTGAATAGGGCAGTCAAACACAGTTGAGTGAGTTGTGTACCGCACAATTCCTGGGCTCTCCTTTCACATGGACTGTTGTCTTTGGAGAATGGAAATGGGGCTGGGGCTGATCTATGGTACCTTCAGTCACAAAGAGAGTGCTGTATTCATCCACTCATTCATTCAGTATCTACTGAACACCTGCTATATGCCAGGCACAATGTAAGGGGCTGATGAAACAGCTGAGTGAGATAGTCAGAATCCCTGTCCTTTGAGAGTCCAGGGTGTGGGGGATGGGGAGGAAAGGAAAAGACAATCAAATACTTGAGCAAATAAATGTAAAATAGCAACACTATTGGGTAGCATAAATCCATAGAATGATGTCAGCCATATAACAGGGGGTGGGGAATGCAACCTGATTCGGACAGGGAGTCAGAGGAAGTGTTGCTTGGGCTGTGATCTGAAGGATGATCTGAAGGTGGAGTGGGTGTTGACTGGGTGAAGGGTGGTGGATGTGGGGGAAGGACATTCCTGGCAGAAAGAATGACATATGTAAAGGTCTGGTAGCTGTAGGACCAGAGTGGAAGCATAGAGGGTGTATTAGAGGAATTAGCAATATTGGAGGCATATAGGGACTGTGTGGCCGGCCACATTGCCGGACCATGCAAGGCCTTGTCACTCGAAGCGGGGCTCAGTGTTCTGAGAGTCAGAGGAGTCTTCGATGGGTTCCAAGAGCAGGGGGAGACCTGACCTGATGTGTGATTGTAAAAGGTCCCTGTGGCAGCCAGAGGGACAGGGCTGGGAGGATCCCTGGCCTTACGCAGGGATTTCAGAGCATCCCTGTTTTGTTAAAGCAGCCAGGAAAGAGCCAGCACGTGCTTCTCCCATATGCTTGTCATCCTCTGCCTACCTCGCGCTCCCAGCATGTTTCCGAGTCACGATACTCAGTCGCCTTACTCCCCTATCTCCAGAACAGACCTCCAAGAGAGGTGGTCACCCCATATCCAGCTCCATGGGATGGAGAGGTACTCCATGGGGAAAGTTCTCCTGGGGCTCTTGAGATGATGGTGGTCATGGGTCTGGCGGTAACAGGTGTCATGGCATCTGATGGCACCCAGAGAAAGGAGGGGGCCTCCAAACCTGGCGGAGTCCGGAGATAGGGCTCCAGGTGAGAGGTGGTTGACTTCCTGACCATTTCGCGGATCTGCCGAAAGTGGGGGAGAAAGTCAGGTGAGTTCCCTTCTCCCTCTCTTCTGGGCCCTGCCCCTCCCCCACTGCCCTCCAAGAAACCCGGCTTTTCTCCTCACCCTGTAGGCGGGTGTGTGAGGGGTGAAAGAGCAGGGCGAAAGGGAGAAGGGGCCACTACCTCCGTCAACACACAGCGCTTGGTCACTGTCCCATTCGGGCTGGGCTACATACATGGGCCCAGCTTAAGTGCCTAGACTTTTCTGGAACCCACATTACAAGTGAATGGTGGCCAAGTTGGCACTGCTCTGGGGTCTGCTATTGTCATGGTCTTCAGTTCAATATCTTGGCAGCTAAGCGGCAAGACGTATAGCACATAAATGCATTTATTAGAGAGCCTAGGGGCAAAGCTGGAGAGTTTCCAGGTGTAGGAGGCAGCTCTTGAACCAGAGGCCCCATCACCTCGTTCCTCAGCCCCTTCTCCTCTTCCTGTTCAGGCTCCTGGCTATCTGGGAATAAGGCATCCTAAGGAGCGTGGTGCCTGGTCTGCAGGCCTTACTGACTAGGGCCACCAGAGGGCCCCAAAGCAAAGCCAGAAGGACTAGTGAGAAGTTCTCGTGAGAATCCCATTCCTCAGCCGGCCACCAACATGCTTGCTCTTCTGTACATCAAGAAACAAACTGAGGGTTGCTGGAGTGGTGGGGGGGTGGGAGGGATGGGGTGGCTGGGTGATAGACATTGGGGAGGGTATGTGCTATGGTGAGCGCTGTGAATTGTGCAAGACTGTTGAATCACAGATCTGTACTTCTGAAACAAATAACGCAACATATTTTAAGAAAAAAGGAAAAGAAGAAGATAACAGGAGAGGAAGAAAAGGGGAGTATGTCAGAGGGGGAGACGAACCATGAGAGATGATGGACTCTGAAAAACAAACTGAGGGTTCTAGAGGGGAGGGGGGGAGGGGGATGGGTTATCCTGGTGATGGGTATTGAGGAGGGCACGTTCTGCACGGAGCACTGGGTGTTATGAACAAACAATGAATCATGGAACACTGCACCAAAAACTAATGATGTAATATATGGTGATTAACATAACAATAAAAAAAAAGAGTTCTGGCTTGGGAGATCCCAGAAGTCCCCTGTCTTGTGATTTCCTAACTTCAGCTATTCCTATACCATCTCTATGACTTTATCTTTCTCACCTATTCACTTACGTACCAACTATTTAACGTCCAGTGGCCTTTAAAAAATCACATTCATTTAATAAAAAATACAGGAACTTGGGGTGCCTGGGTGGCTCAGTTGTTAAGCGTCTGCCTTCGGCTCAGGTCATGGTCCCAGGGTCCTGGGATCGAGCCCCACATCAGGCTTCCTGCTCGGCGGGAAGCCTGCTTCTCCCCCTCCCGCTCCCCCTGCTTGTGTTCCCTCTCTCGCTGTCTCTCTCTGTGTCAAATAAATAAAATCTTAAAAAAAATTTTTTTTAAAAATACAGGAACTTCATATCACTCGTCAACAGAAAACTGGCATCCCTTGGCATAAACACGATATAACTGGGGGTAAAAAGAATACAAGGGACTGAAAAAGCATCCTGGAAGCCAGGCTACATAGGGTTGCCTAGTTGGGTAATGCCCTTTTTTTGTTAAAAGTGTTTAGGATACATCGGCCCCAAACTGAGACTTTCTCTTTGGTGTAAAAAGAAAGAGAAAAAGGATTGCAAAGGCGATGTCTTGTTCATTCTGTCATTCTGCATGATGCAGTACCAAAGCTCCACATCACTTAAAATCAACACTTCTTTTGGGGGAAGCTTTTCCACTTTGGGAACCAACGTTTTGTGCAAACACCAAGCCAGCCTGTGTTAGGTGGGCCTGACCTGGCCTCTCCTGGGGCACAAGGTAAGGGCAGCGCCACCCAGGCCACCAGCCCTTCGGGGGCCTGACTTCATCACCCCACGTCCCCTAGTCAGAGGTCCTCTCTCTGTTCATGGCTCTCTTCGCACTCTCAGCCCCATGAGGGCCATAGTCAGTGCCCCCATCCCCTGAAACTGACCACTCCTCGGGCTCAGCCTCAATGACACCCACCCCATCCCCTCCTGGACACATGGTATCCAGAGTTTTCTGGACCATGTTTCCTATATTTGTAGGGCAGAGACCACAGCTTGCCTCTGGCCTCAGCCTGTTGCCCAGGGTTACTGGTGCATAAATGACAATGCAAATAACCTTGCGCCATTGACTCTGCCCTTCCTCTGTATGAGGCACTCCTCAGGGCCTGTGTGTATGATGTCATACAGTCCTCCCAACAGCCCTGCAGGGTAGATGCCGTCATTATTCCTGTTCTACAGACAAGAATCCCAAGGCTCATAGAGGGTAAGCCAGTTAATCACGGCATCACAGCCAGCAAAGGGGCAGAGCTGAGATTTAAACCCATGACTGCAGAACCCATGTGCTCAAGAGCGAAGATTCTAGGAGGTGAAATGTGGTGGAGAAATGACTCTGCAGTACTGGTGAGTGCTCTGAGCACAGCCTGTGTGCCAGGTGCTGCTAAGTGGTTATTGCATCAAATCCTTGCCAGCCCCCTTCAAGGTAGGGGTCCTTGTCCGCATTTTACAAATGAGTAGAGTGAGGCTCCAGGGGGTCCATCACTGTGTCCAAAGATACACACCAGGCAAATGGAAGAGGCACTCTTTGCCTCCAAGCCTTTTTCCAGAGGTGAGAGGCCAGCCCCACTATTGTTCTCAATATTGTGTATTTTTTGGGGGGGGTTAGTCTTATTTAAGAAATATTTTCCTCTCCTCAAAGTGAGAAAGATATCATAGATTTTCTCCTAAGAAGTTTTGGATTTGTTTCGGCATTTAAATCCTTAGACCACCTGGACTTGATTTTGTGTATGGTGTGAGAGAAGGATTCAAAGTCACTTCTCTGTATCTCTGTAACATTATCTACAGCTAGATATCAAACACTCTGCCAGTTCCAAATGCCAATTTAGCATATGTGGTCATACAAACTTGGGAAAGCCTTGAAGTTGGCCTTTGCACCATGAATGAAGCAAGTTTTACTAAGCAAATTCAATTGACAGTGTATTTAAGAGACAAGGCTGTTTCCAAATATCAAATATGTAATTGCCAATGATCCTTGTATTAATCACAAATCTACTTAACCTTTTGTTTACCTTTTGTTCCAAGATATTTTTGAAATTGTTTTCAATTCTTTTATGGAGGAGGTTCAGGATCCAGCTGGAAGAAAGAGGAAAGAGGATCAGGATTCACTTTATGATTAACTAGGACTCCCAAACAGAGGGCTACCCATGGATCTGAACTTCCCCCATGTTATCCCATGAAGGGACCCAACCAGATGGGGAACTCTCGTATGCTGTTAGTGGGAATGTCAACTGGTGCAGCCAGTATGGAAAACAGTGTGGAGGATCCTCAATAAATTAAAAATAAAACTACCATATGATCTATCAATTCTACTTCTGGGTAGCTATTGGAAGAAAATGAAAATGCTAATTTGAAAAGATCTCTGCAACGCCATGTTCACTGCAACATTATTATAAGCAAGGTATGGAAACAACCTAAGTGTTCATCAATGGATGAAAGGATAAAGAAAATGTGGTACACACACACACACACACACACACACACAGAGGAATATTAGACAGCCATATAAAAGGATATCTTACCTGAGGAATTCTTAATCTCAGGAAACAAACCGAGGGTTGCTGGAGTGGTGGGGGGTGGGAGGGATGGGGTGGCTGGGTGATAGACATTGGGGAGGGTATGTGCTATGGTGAGCGCTGTGAATTGTGCAAGACTGTTGAATCACGGATCTGTACCTCTGAAACAAATAATGCAATATATGTTAAGAAAAAAAAGAAGAAGAAGATAGCAGGAGGGGAAGAATGAAGGGGAGTAAGTCGGAGGGGGAGACGAACCATGAGAGATGATGGACTCTGAAAAACAAACTGAGGGTTCTAGAGGGGAGGGGGGTGGGGGATGGGTTAGCCTGGTGATGGGTATTAAAGAGGGCACGTTCTGCATGGAGCACTGGGTGTTATGCACAAACAATGAATCATGGAACGCTACATCAAAAACTAATGATGTAATGTATGGTGATCAACATAACAATAAAAAATTTTAAAAAAAGGATATCTTACCATTTGCAACAACATGGATGGGCCTTGAGGCTATTATGCTAAATGAAATAAGTCAGACAGAGGAAGACAAATATCACATGATCTCACTTATATGTGGAATCTTAAAAAAACCCAACAACAACTAAGCTCATAGATACAGAGAACACATTTGTGGTTGCAGGGGCAGGGGCCAGAATGGGTGAAGGAGGTCAAAAGGTACAAACTTCTAGTTATACATAAATAAGTCCTGGGGATGTGATATACAACCTGGTGACTACAGTTAATAATACTGTATTGCATATTTGGAAGTTGCTAAGAGTAGATCTTAAAATGTTCTCATCACAACAAACAAATTTTCTAACTATGCATGGTGACAGATGTTATTTTTATTTTTTTAAAGATTTTATTTATTTGACAGAGACACAGCGAGAGAGGGAACACAAGCAGGGGGAGTGGGAGAGGGAGAAGCAGGCTTCCCGTCAAGCAGGGAGCCTGACGCGGGGCTCGATCCCAGGACCCTGTGATCATGACCTGAGCCGAAGGCAGATGCTTAATGACTGAGCCACCCAGGCGCCCCTGGTGACAGATGTTAATGCGACTTATTGTGGTTGATCATTTCACAATGTCTACAAGTATCCCATCATTGTGTCATATACCTGAAACTACTGTGGTGCTGCATGTCATTTATACCTCATTAAAGAGAACGAAGCGGAGTCAGGCCTATTCTTTATAACCTACAAAATCCACAGAACAACCTACCTGGCAGTTTAGCAAGTAGTCACTCACTCATTCATTCAACAAACATTTACTGAGCTCCTTCAACCAGCTGAGCACTGAGTTAGGTGTTGAGGGGACGCTGGTGAATAAGCTCATGGAGTGCATGATGTGAGTCTAACCCACTTCAGGTAAAGCTGCCCTCAGAGACTCTTCCCCACCACAGATAGCACTCGGGGAGAATCATGGCCCAGAACAGACATTGCACACTGTTCTCAACTGGGGTGAGGGTAAGAGGTTGTGGGAAATAAGTGAACTAAGTTAGTGGAATTATGTCTGGTAAAATTTTCTTCTCCCACAAATTTTTCTTTACTGTTCCATACTTGCTGATTGAGTGATGTGTATTATAAATGTATGTATATTATAAATACATGCAGTAAAATTAGACACAGGTATTTTCTGGGGTTCTGCAGAAAACATCTTGAACTTTCCAGGGTTCTGTGCCCTGAGCCAGCCCAAGACTCATAGACTGGCTGAATGTTGGACCCTGGGTAGGTCTGAATGACCCCGACTTTAGAGACCATGGCTGGAGTCCCTGACAGCTGTGGGTGGGGGTGTTGCTTCTAGAAAAGTCTGTCTCCTCCAACATCTCTGGGTACCCTTCCAACATTGAGCTAAAGTAGAACAGATTGAAGCGGTAGGAAACTTTCCATGGATCACAGGCTACATAAAGTCATTCTGGCCCCATTCCTCCTCTTGTTGCCCAAATTCAGTCCAATCTTCTAAATCTGCCACAAGCACTTCCCCCCACCTCTGCTGCCATCACCTGCCCCTGGAGCATCATCATCTCTTGCCTGGACAACTGCCTCTCCCCTCTCGGGTCTCCCTTTACTCACTCTGCCCTGCTCTAATCTCCTCTAAAGGAAGTGATTTTTTACTGGAGCCAATCTGATTATATCCCTGCCTTTCTTAAAATCCTCCAGTGGCTTCCTGCTGCCTCACTTCAGGATAAAGACTAGAGTTTGGCTCCTGACTATTCTCTTCACTTTTTCTAATTAATCACCACCCCATCAGGTACACTGACCTCTGCTTGCTTCCTGGGAAGCCCAGGCTTTTCATGCCTCAGGATCTTTGCACATGTTTCTTCCTGCACCAGAGAAGCTCTCCTCTCCTCCTCTTGTGCTAAAATTCAAGGCTCATTTCAGATATCCTTTCCTTGAAGAAACTGTCTCTGCTCCAAATGTTAAGTAAACCCTCTACATTCATAACATCTGGACTCTCTCTTTATAAGCATGTTATCGCAACTATGTTGAAGGTAATTCAATATATATTACAATGCTTTATGTCTCCTTCCCCCACTAGAATATACATTGCACCAAGGTAGGGACCCTGTCTCTTTTGCATCGTCTTATATTCCAAACATTTAGCTCAGGATCTGACAAATAATAGGCATCAATAAATATTTGTTAACTGGATGACTAAGGCTAGCAATTCCCTATTTTGGTCAAGACCCTGGGTGTTCATGCTTCTGTGTCCATAGCAATAGCACCCAACTATGCAGCTATGACCACCCTAACGAACGAGCAAAAATGTTTTTCTGGCCCCACTGTGTCCATCTCCACTGTGTGTGTGTGTGTGTGTGTGTGTGTGTGTGTGTGTGTTAACCACACAGAATTTCATGGCTTTGTTTCTGAGAAATGGGACATTATGCTCACCCAGGTAAAACAACACAGTGGTTTCAAGCTATCCAGTCTCCACTAAAAGTTTCCTTTTCCAAATGTCAGCCTTAAGTTCAAAGGCTCTAGTATTGTGCCGAAAACATCTGTCAGTTGAGTAAATGCACAGCTAAGTCTCTGGGTTCCCCAAAATATAAATTCCCCTGAAACTGACAGGATTAGAGGGCCCCACCTTTCTGCTGATATTTCTCCCCCCAACACGGTCACCCAGCAAATACATGTCCAGCAAAGAGGCAATTGGCTATTTGTTCTGTTTGCCCCCCACCCGACAGTAGGGAGCTATTACCACCACAGGAAGGGCAAAGGGAGAAGGAGAGAGCACATCTCCAGCAGACTCTGTGCTGAGCGCTGAGCCTGACATGGGGCTCGATGCAGGGCTCAATCTCGCAACCCTCAGATCATGACCTGAGCTGAAAACACAAAACAAGAGCCGGATGCTCAACCGACACAGCCACACAGGCGCCCCAGCGGACTTTTTCTTAAAGGTCCAGACAGTCAATATTTTGGGCTCTGCAGGCCACATGGTCTCTGTCGTAGGTAACCCACTCTGCTGTTGTAGACTAAAGCAGCCACAGACGGCATGTGAGCCGCTGAGCGTGGCCATGCTCCAGTGACTTTATTTACGAAAACATGACACAGACTGGTTTGGCCTGTAGGCCTTTAGTTGGCTGACCTCTGATCTTGATGCACCTTAAATCTTGCTCTTATGCCCCATCAGGAGCATCCCTGGGTGAGCTGGATGCCGAGGTGTCTCTGACAATCTCCAGCAAGTGCATGGAGTTGCTTACCTTAGTTGTCCAGAAATGTCAACACTGATGTGGCCAATGGAGTTGCGGCAGTGGGCCACAGAGGCAGTGGGCCGTCCAGACTGGTCCTTGCCCAAGTTCAGAGAGACTGAGATGGAAATGCCATCCACATTCGCATCGAAAGTACCATCTAGGGTGCTGGTTGGGAGTTATGGGAAGCAAATGGTGTATAATCAGTCACCTCCAGGAAGAGAAGCAAAAAGACCAGTCTCCAGTTCCCTTCTAAGTAGCTGTGTATCCTAACAGAGCCTCTACTTTGCAGCCAGCATTTATTAAGCATCTGCTGTGTGCCGGAAAAGCAAACTGCTAAATGCCTTATATCTGTTATTTTATTTAATCCACAGCTGCATCAATAAGGTGAATTATTATTAATCCCATTTTACAGATAAATAAATGGAGACGTGGAGATGGTCAGATTTGGTTCCTTTGTAGACTGATTGTCTGAGAGACATCCTAACCCAAGTACTACTCACACGAAAGCCTTTTTCACCTTCCAGTTCCCACTGACAAACATGTAGTTATTGGATAGGGATGCTCTGACCCCCTGCCTTGGGCGTAGCCTCAAATCCGAGTTCCTGAGCTCGAAGCGATGGATCGTCAGTCTGGGGAAGAAGGCAGAATATCAAACCCAGAAAAGCCAGGCACATATTAGTCCTCCGAGCAAACGCTCTGGCTCTAGAGTTGTTAGTGACTTTCTGTTGTTGCTAATTTCTGGGCTGCTTCACTGTTCCCTATTTGGCTTTTTGGTTGTTCTAACACCTTTCAGGAAAATTCCCTGTATTAGATTCCCCCCGTTGAATTTCCTCATGTGGATTCTGCTTTTTTGGCTGGTCCTTGATGGGTATAGTCACGCTGCCTGGTACACTCATCTGCATCAGCCCCTCCTTGTGGCCATTTGAGTTTGTGGCTCTTGCTGCATCAACCCTCATTAGTTCACTCAACAAACATCCATTGAAATCCTGCCCTTGAAGAGCTCACAGCTGGTGGTAGATCTGGATGTGTTAACAAACCACGGTGGCCTAATGTGAAAACTAGAAGCAAGGGATGCTCTAGGGTTGTGGGAAGGGCCCTTGACCTCTAAGTGCCATGGCCTGGGTAGTGTGTGTGTGTGTGTGTGTGTGTGTGTGTGTGTGTGTGTGTGTGTGCAAATTTAAAGTAGCTCTTTTTTGCTCACTGCCTTCAGGAAATTATCCTGAGAGACTTTGGGAAGATTCCAAGAGGGAGCCTTTTCTATCAGGGATGAATAAATGATCCCCAAAAACCTATTATGGACCCACTGGGGCCTGGGGAAGAAAAATCCATGTAATCAAGGAATGGCTAAAGAAAGAGTAAGGTGTGAAGACTCTAAGATGGACTGTGTAAAAGCTACAGGGAGATTAAGGTCAGTTAGGCCTTATGAGGAGGGAGATGAGGAGCTGGGACTGGTTCACCAGGACCAGGAGGCCAGCTGCTTTATTCCTCACTAGGGTTATGTGTGGATGCTATCCTCAAGAAGCAGTATGCAAATAAAGTCCGAACAGGTTCCAGAAAAGCTTAAAAGTCCTTCATTACAGACCCTTAAAAGGCTTTGGAGGGATGGATAGTGTGTCTCAAGCAGGTCCCTCATCTGGGCAATCAGGAGAGTAGCCAGGGGTCTCTGGCAGAGCAAAAATCTAGGGCTAGTTTCTGCAGGACTGACCTCCGGGCCTGTGAATGGCTTCCAAGGCTCTCCCTCCCATCCTGATGATTTAAGAAACATATAGCACCTTCCAGAAGCTCCACAAGAGTTGGTCATGATCCTTTTGCCTTTAATCCAAGTGATGATTCCATGTTTATCCCCCTCCCCCAGGAACCCAGGCCCCCATTCTGCCTCCTCCACTGCCCCTACGGTGGAGAATAGAGACCTTACCTGTAAAAGTCATAGCTCACAGTTTTAATCCAGCTGACTTTGAAGCTTCCTGAGAAATCAGGCAACTTGATTGTGGACAGCTCCTTCTTCAGGATGGCTACTCCGAGTTGGCGGGCTGAGGGGAAATAGTGGGAGTCAGCTCATGCCGTGGGAAGCAGCCAAGTCCAACAGCCGAGTGGCCGGGCTTTGAAATCACACGGACAGGGATTGAATGTAGGACTTGCCATTTCCTCTTGGTGTGCTCCCAAGCAAGACCCTTAAACTCCTTGAGACTCCTTCCTCCCAACTGTACAATGGTCATAGTGATAATACCAACCGGAGCGTGAGAATTAAATTAGATCATGAACTCAAAGTGCCAGATAAATGGCGGGTGTTATTTATCTATGTTGATCAACAAGATCGTGGAAGCAATGATACAATATGGTGAGGCTTTTGAGGAATGCATTCCCTGCAGCGTGGTCAAAGCTTCAGGTTTTTCACTGTTGCCAGGGCCATATGTTCACAATGCAGATTCCCAAGCTTAGCTTCAGTTGACAGGAGACGGATATTTGGAATCTGTATTTTAACATATGTCCCGGCAATTCCAGGGTGGTCCACGGACCCCCTAGGGAAAATGCTGGTCTAGTCCCGTCCCTCACCTCTGATACTCAAGACGAGGAAACTGAAGCCCAGAGGGGGACATATCCAAGGCTTCTGAGCCAGGCAGGGGCAGAATCCCAGCCTGTGGTCGCTTGTCCTGGTTACCACACCACTCTGGTGGGCAACAGTGGACACCAGAGGAATGGCTGACACCCGCCCCCCCCCTTACCATATGCAAGGCCTTTTCTGGTGATTCTGGCCACAACCCCAGGATTGGTTGCCCCTTCTTCGAACCCAGAGACCTCTGCCAGCAGCAGTAGGGTGACTACCACACAGTATAGTCTGGCCATCATCCTGTCCTCAGCAACATCCCGGGCAGAGGTCGCTTTCTGTAGGAGCCTCCCTTGCTGAAGGTGGCAGCAGTGCCGAGGAGCTTATAAAGCCAGTGGCCAGATGAGGAACTGAGCCCATTGGGAGAGAGGGCGGGGGAGGTTCTAGGCTTTGAGGCAGCCCAATTTTCAGCAACTCGAGATGGAGAGAAGGTTGCTTGTGAAATTGTTTGAGGTTTATTTCTGGCCTGAGGGTAGCGGAAGTGGGGCCATGTCCAAGCTCTTCCTCTTCCAAGCTCTGCTGCCCGGTGCTGCCCCGGGAGCCTCCCCACAACACCTCTCTCTAGTGGAACACCTCCATTCACTCCCCACTATCTACAGACTGAAATGTAAACATCCAGCGTGGCAGCTGAGGCCACCACAACCCGGCTCTGACACACCTCTCCAGCTGGACCTGCCACCAGCCCAGGTCTGGCTGAGCCCGCACTCTGGCTCCCCCAGAACCTGCCGGTCCCCACTTACACTGTGCAAGACCATCAAGACCATGTGCAAGTCAGGCCACACATACAACAATTGGATTCTGCAACTCTCGGCTCCGGACGGCTCTGCATTTTTTTCTCTTGCATACGTTGTTTTAAATCAGCTTTATTAAGGTGTAATGTATATGCAATAAAATGCAGACATTTTAAAGTGTACAGTTCAAGGAGTTTTGACCCACATATACATCCGTGTAGCCACATCGTCATCAGGATAAAAACATTTGCATCACCCCAAGAATCTCCCTCGTGCCTCTTCCCAGCCGATCTCTGATCCCACCTCCTACCCCGAAAACCACTGACCTGCTTTCTGTGACCATCCATTCATTTCTCCTGTTCTAGACTTTGTGCGAATGGAACCATACAGTGCGTGTCCTGACCGTGCTGGCTGCACGCAGCATTATGTTTTTGAGATGAATCCATGGTATTTTATGTGTCAATAATTCACTCCTGTCTATTGTACAGCAGCGCTCCACACAGCTGCTGTACAATCCTTTGAGGCTAGGCTTTGAGGCAGCCCTATTGTACAGCAGCTGCTGTACAATCCTTTTATTGTATTGTATCATATCTTTAATTTTCTTCAGATAGGAAATACATTAACGATGCTCAACAGTCAATCCATATAACAAGATGTACAGTGAGCAGTCTGGCTCTCAACCCTCTTTTTTTTTTTTTTAAGATTTTATTTATTTATTTGACAGAGAGAGAGAGAGACAGCGAGAGAGAGAACACAAGCAGGGGGAGTGGGAGAGGGAGAAGCGGACTTCCCACGGAGCAGGGAGCCCGATGCGGGGCTCGATCCCAGGACCCTGGGACCATGACCTGAGCCGAAGGCAGATGCTTAACGACTGAGCCACCCAGGCACCCCTCAACCCTCTTTTGCATCCTGCCAGCTTCTATCTCCTCCGACTCAAATCAACATGAAATTCCACTGGGGTAAGACATCCAAGGTGCTTTGACAGCTTACATCCTAGGGCCCGTGGGAGCCTGGAGAGGGAGCAATCAAGACAGGAGAGGTGCTTGGTCTGGGTTTCAAAGTACTTATAGGAGTTTGGCAAACAGTCACAGAGAGGAAAGGTACCCTGGACAGAAGGAACAGCGTGAGGCAGGGCACGAAAGCCTGAGGCAGCCTTGCACATTCTGGAAGGCACGAGGAACTCTAGGGTGAGGGGCGGGAATGGACTAGAGCGTGGTCCAAGAGTAGGCACAAACATGGGTGGAATCTCCTCTTGAAGGGCCTGGATAGCCAGTCCTGGATAGCACCCCTCAATATGAACATGGAAGAGTTTTCATTTTCCCATCATTGATAATCTCTATGTTGTTTTAAATCCTCCTTTTCCCCTGGATGAGGCTCCTTTCATGACACCTCAGTCGTGATTCAAACATTTCCATCATATTCAGTTTAATTTAAGACTTGGTCCTGTCCGTGTAAACCTGAATCTCATATTCTACCACATAATGTTTTCTCTCTGCCCCATGCAGGCATCTGGAGGCTCTCACAGCTTGGAGCAGGCAAGTACGTATGTGCCCGTGCATGCACATATATGTCCACATGTGTGTTGGTACATGAGCATGTGTGCATTTGAGTGTATCTGTGCGTGTGTGTGTGTGTGTGCTTGCATGGGTATGCTTGTGTGCATGTGTGTGTGCATGTAGGGCTGGCTTTCTCTTCACACACCCCTCCCTCTTCCCTGCTCTGACCTGTAAGGGAGGAGCGGGGGGGCTACCGTTGGGCATTGGAAGTCCTCTTTGTGTATCTCAGGGGTGGTGAGGTGGCCCATGCTGAGGCTTATCAGCACTGACCAAGCTTGATACCCGTCAGCTCAGGGTGGGTAAACCGAGGCCCCCAGGGCCCTGTTAGGGAGGGGCTCAATTCCAAGCGGCTGTTCCAGGCAAGAATCAAGCCTTGGGAGAATTGTCCTCGACTTGTGCCTCCCAATATGCCCTTGACCCTAGGCCTGTGGCCAGAGTTGAGTCTAGTTTCACTTCCCTTTGGAAGATGAGACATCATGGGGATGGTCCTTGCCTCTTTTTTGCTTGTCACAGAGCCTATATTTCTAGGAGTGGTTCTCCTGGGAGCCCTTTTGTCTCAGTTTTGTTCAGGGGAAGAGTCAAGAATCTTTTCCTCTCTCCCATCAGATGGTCCAGAGAAGGGATGGTAGAGGGTCTTTGTTGACAACCTCCTGGAAATAGTTTAATCAGGAGTCTGGCCAGCTCAGGTTTGCGTTCTGCCCAGAGCTCCACCAGCAGCCGGAGGATGGAGAAGATCTACATTAAGGATGCCCATGGGGTTGTACTCCAGGATGGTTTGGGAGACAGAACATACTGCCCGCGTCAGTTTGCCAGGCCACTGTGACGGGGTACACGAGCTGGCAGGGTTCAATAACAAAAATTTATTTTCTCACAGTTCCAGGGGCTTGATGTCTGAGATCGAGGTAGCGGGGGCACTGGATGCTTCTCAGGGTTGGGAGGGAGATCTGCTCCGGTCCTCTCCCCTTGCTTTCAGGGCTCTCTGCCAATCTTTGGGATTCTGTGGCTGGTAAGCCTGTCACTCTGAATTCTGCCTTCATTGTCCATGGTGTTCTCCCTGTGCATGTGGCTGTCTCCAAATTTCTCTCTTTCATAAGGACACCAGTCCTGTTGGATCAGAGGCCCACCTTAATGACCCATCTTAACTAATTACCTCTGCAATGACCCTATTTCCAAACAACATCGCATTCTGAGGTACTGGGGGCTAGGATTTCAACATATGAATTTGGGGGGCACAATCCAACTCACAACAGTGTCCCATCAACTGTAAGGAGTGAGGAAAGCAGTTCAAGTCTTGGGGATGCTGAAATTTGCATCAAGGTCCTATGTGACTGTCCCTCCATAAGCTTGTATGCTCCAAATGGGTATAATGCTACCGACCTTGCAGGATTTTTGTGGGAATTAAGATAACATTTGGGAATGCACTGAGTGTCTGGTACCTGCTGAGCCTGGGCAGTGAGGTCATCTGCATTGGGGACCATCCCCTGAGCTGGCCTTCTGAGACATCTCATCTTGCCAGAGATGCAAAACCAGCAGCAGAGAAAACCTAATTGTGGCTTTCACTTCTCCTTTGGCCGAAACTTGAGGTCATGGCCAGGAGATTGGGAGCTCATGCGTCAGAACTCCAGGGTTAAAGACCCGCAAAAGCTCTCTGCTGAAGATGTGCCTTTGAGACATTTTTAGGGGCACTACCCTCTTCATCAGAACCTCCCAGGTGTCCTGCACACATCCCTCTTCTTCCAAGGATAGGGAGTTCACGCCACCCTATGAAAACCCAGGAGGTGGCCTAGCCTTGGCATTTTTCTTCTGCCCCTCGGTGAGACCACTTGACCTCTCTGTTGGGTGCACCCCAGGCCTGCATGGACCTTGACCTGAAGCAGGGGTGTTGTGTCTGTCATTGGTCCTTTATCTGGGCTCAATCCCACCCCTCACCTTCTTCCAGGACTGGGCTGAAGTTCTACCTTACTGATAATATATTTTTTTAAGATTTTATTTATTTATTTATTTATTTGAGAGAGAGTGTGTGTATGTGTGTACAGGGTGTGAGGTGGGGGAAGGACTAAGGGGAGGGAGGGGAGGGAGAAGGAGAGAACCCTAAGCAGACTCGGTGCTGAGCTCAGAGCCCCACTGGGGTTCGATCTCACGACTCTGACCAAGTGGAGTCACCCAGGCACCTCTGATTACAAAATATCTTTATAGGCAATATCTATACATGATAAAAATGGTACAAATGGTACAAAAGGGTGGCATTAGCTCTTCCTTCCACCACTGTCCCCAGGCCTCCCGCTTTCTGCCCCAGAGGCAGTGTCTTTCTCATCTTTACAGAAGTACTTTGTGACAACAGAAGCACACACGATAACACGGGTTCCTACATCTTACTTTCTGCACGTCATAGACCTTGGAGGGAGGGCGGAGCGGCCGCAGACTATGAGCAGTACGTGGTCGCTCAGGCACCCCTACAGCTGTCCACTTCCTGCTCCACAGGACACCCCTGGGCTCAGCCAGGCCGGGGCTGGGGTCCTGGGGCCGATGAGGGGTGTCCGGCTGTACTGCCGCGGGGGCCCACAGCGACCTGCATACCCAAGCCCGCTAGTTTGAGCCTCCACCGCCTCCCATCAGATTGGGGATGTCAAAAAGCCCAGCGTCTGTTTAATGACTATGTAGACAGCAGGAACTTCGGGCGACCCTGGGTCTCTGGATGAGACCACCTATGAAAGACCGGCAGAGAAGACACTGGGCTCCTTAGCAGAGTTTGTTGAAGACCTTGCAGACAAACCTTACACCTTTGACGACTATGATGTCCCGTTTGGGAGTGATGTTTTAAACTGGGTGGAGATCCAGGAACCTACATGATCAACAAGCCGACCCCAACAAGCAAATCTGGTTATGTTCACCATCCGGGGCAGGGCAAGACTTAAGACTGATTGGAGAAGAACTGGGTGTACCCCCACCACGGTGTGCCTCTCACCAGCTGCTGGCCACGGGGCCGACTAAAGCCTTAAAAACCAAGTTGGATTGATCTTCTCTGG